TCTCAGTCTCCCCAGGGCTGGGATTACAGGCATGGGCCACCACACCCGATTTTGGGGCCAACTGGGCCGGAATGGCATGCATAGCATGCCTGGGGTTTCTGGGGTTCTGGGGCCCCCACAGCATGTGGTACTGGGGACTGAACCTGAGTCCTTGCACTTGCCAGGCAGGTGCTTAGACCACCGAGTTATCTCCCCAGCACCTTCTGCTTGCCATTTCTGATGTAGTGCTAAGTGTGGACTTGGCTACCTATTCAGAAATAAGGTATTAGTAATGAAAATACTTTTACAATCAACTTTTATTTTTCTTAAAGGTACATCTATATATGGGTTATATAATATCTATATCTATATATCTATATCTGTTTTTGAATCAGCCTCATAGGCTGTTAATAAAAATTCAGTGCCTTGCTCATCCATAGCTCCCTATCACTGATTCAAAGAGGCAGCTACTTTTAATCCCATAGCTGTTTCTTTTGATAATTGGTTCCATGTTTCTATGTAATATACTGTTCATTGTAGTTTTCATATTTTATTTTGATTTTAGTTTTATATATTCTCATTTGACCTTCTAATGTACACGCATGTACACACTTCTCGTCACCCATTCCAATGTGTTGGCATAATCATATTTTGATGTGTGAATTTTTATAATTCTGGAAATGTTATTCACAATTGAATCATGTGATAAGTTATTAAGTTTCCTCGTCTTACATTATACTGTCTTCTTTGAGTTTGACTATTGTCTCCCTTTCTGCCTGTCTGTGCCTCTGTCTGTTTGTCATTAATTCTTTTTTTTTTTTTTTTTTTTTTTTGGCCAGCTCAGTCCACCCTGAGGGCAGGGCTGGCGTGGCATGTGGTTCCAGGGACTGAGCTGTGGTCCCCTGCGCCTGCCTAAGCTTGCCTAAGCAGGTGCTTTAGACCGCTGAGCTATCTCGCCAGCCCTGTCATTCATTCTTTATCAACAGTTAGATAGATCTCAAGATCTTTAAAAATGTAAGGTAATAGGATTCTATTACTATAATTTGTGTGGGTATATGTGTGCAAATATCTCTTGAGAGTCACCTGCTCTCACTCCAATGGATATTTATTGCTACCTTTACGGCTCTGTTCTAGGATCTATGCCATCCTGAAAATTTTCTTTTTTTAAATTTATTTATTTATTTATTTGAGAGAGAGAGAGAGAGAGAGAGAGAGAGAGAGAGAGAGAGGCCAGCTCAGCCCACCAGGGGGCAGGGCTGGCTGGCATGTGGTGCTGGGGGATTGAACCGCGGATGCTTTTGCTAAGCTTGTTCTAAGTAGGTGCTTTAGACCACTGAACCATCTCTCCAGCCCGAAAATTTTCTTTTTTTCCTTGGTTGTATCTATGTTTCCTGGACTTCGTGGTTAGTTTTCTCTCTTGTTCTATGGAACTAACCCTTTAATAGCTGTCTAAGACAAAGAGAAGGGGAGAGTAAAATATTTGGGAATTTTGCAAGTTTGAAAGTATCTTTTTCCATGGTCACATTTATTGATAGTGTAGAACTCCAGCTTAGAAATTATTTTCTTTTGAATTTTTGAAAACATGCTCTTACTTGGGTTTTCACTTTTCTGTTGGAAATTCTGAGACCACAGAAATTTCCACGACTTTTTATGTGACTTTAAAAAATTTATGTAGGAACTTTGAAGGATCTTTTGTCTGTTTTAAAACTGATCCTAGTGTTTTAAAACTAAGTTTGTGTGCATGTTTCATTTTGTGATGGGCACTTGCTGAGTTCATCCAGTTTATAAAGTCTTACCTTTCACTTTGCAAGTCGTTTCTTTAAATAGGCTCTCTACTTTCTAATTGTTTCTGTTTGGTCCTCTTTCTCTGCAATATCAATTATTCAGATATTGGATCTTCGTGGTAATTTCTTAGCTTTCAAAAATGTTCTTTCCCTTTCTATTACTTCTCTTTTGTCTTCTGGAAGGGTTCCTTCATTTGATTTTCCCACTAGTCTACTAATATTTTCTCTTCATGTATTTTACTTTTTAGGCCCTTTAGGGTATCTGGGTGTATCTTTTATGGCATTTTGTTCCTGTTTCATGCATACAATGACATTTTCTTTAAGGATATTAATAAAGTAATAAGGTTTTCTTTCATATTTTGCATTATCTTTCCTTTCTCCTATTTTTCAGGGTTTACTTTGGTCTCAGACAAAATATGTGTTTATCACTTATAGTTATATATAAAGTATTAACAGGAGGTTGGATGGTCAAAACCACTATGTGACTGTGCTGGACTTACTAAGTAGTAGACTACACAACAGGGCAATTTGTTGGATTTTCAAAATTTGGGTTCCTCTAAATTTGTCAGCATCCATGTTTTACTCTTGGAATGCAGACTCTCCCTAGACAAAGCTCTCACAATGTCTTTCTCGGAAGAGGTAAAGGGATAGTGGGAATCTAGCTGTCTGTCAGCAAGTGCTTAAAGTTAGAGCAGGGAACTGGCTGGGGTGAGGATTATACTGTCCAGTATGTTGAAATTTAATTAGTCTCTTTCCATACCTGACCCCCCAAGGTTGCATGCCCTTGAATGTAGAGGTTTTCTAGCTCAGTCCTTCCAAGAACACAGACCTGTACAGTTCTATCAGGAAGGACAAACCACAGGTCCAGCTATGTTAGCAAAGAAAATCTGATTGCTTTCATCCAGCGCTCCTGTCTTCAGCCTCGGCTGTTACCACCCTTCTCCGTTATATTCAGAGAGATTATTTCTCAGATCCGAATCTTTCTGAGATGCTTTAATATAAATTACCTCACTTCTTGGATTCTTATATTATTGATTTTCTTGAATTCAGCTTTGTACTTTTTCTAATCTGTTAGTTAGACTTCATCCTTGTGGATCTCCATTTTTAATTTTTTTTTCCTGTAGTTTTCTTTCATTCTTGATTTACTTGGTTTAAGCTTTTTGATGTATTCATTTGTTTTCTGTGAGGAGCATATTGGTTATAAATTTGGGCTCTAGAGTGCCTGGGTTCATCATCTATATATGACTATATGATTTGGGCAAATTTAATCTCATTGTGCTTTGTTTCTTCATATTCAAAAAATTTGTAGCTATATTATTTTTTAGAGTTAGAATATTTGAGATATACTAACCATTTCAAACCATAGCTGGCTTAATAGATTTTAGCCATTATTAGTTTGGAATAGTTTCAGACAAAGATAATCTATATTCAAGTAACCAGGTGTAACTGGACATCTAAAGAAATACTTAACAGCATCAACTACTGAACAAGTATTATCAACTTCATAAACAAATTAAGGACAAATGCTGTATATTTAATGTGCTACATAAAATATTTAGGTTCTCACATCATTTGCTTACTGTTGCTCACTTACGGTGAACCTTAGAGTTCACAGTCTCTAAATCTTTGTTTTGCAGAGGAAGAAAATTGAGACCTAGTTTTTAGTGGCTTGTCTTCAGGGTTGAAACCAAGGTTCACAATTCTTGGTTTAGTCTTCTTTTCATTACATTGTATTTCATTTTCTAAGAATCAGCAAATGCTGTGAGACCTGGAAGCTTAGTTTTGATGATGGTACTATTCTATAACTGATTTATTTATTTGTTTGTTCATTTTAAGTACTCTGAACTGGATCAGTAATTCTCCTTGGCTTATGATATATTATAATCAGTGGCTAATGTACACTGTACTTCTTTATTTCCTTTTAATAATATATAAAATAATGCTTCTATATTAGGTGGAGTACTTGGAGGAAAGTTAGTTTACATTCATATAGGGTTCAAAATTAAACTCATAGTTGTGTGTTGAATAATCACACTGGGTCAAGATACAGTGCATATATGTAACAGCAATCCAATAAGATCATGATGGAGCCAAAGTGGACCTGTTGCCTGTGACACCACAGCCATCATAACATTGTAGTGCAATGAATTACTTCTATGTTTTGGGGGTGCTGATATTAAACAAACCTACTGTACTGCCAGGGGTATAAAAGTATAATACCTGTTATGTACAATATATGATGGTTACTAATGATAATAAATGATGGCTAGTGGTTTGTTTGTTAATTAATGAATTATTTTTTTAGCGCCAGGGATCATACCCATGGATACCACCACTGAACTATATCCTCAGCCCAGTTGATATTTTTAAATTGTGAGACAGAATCTCACCAAGTTGTCCAGGCTGTCTTCCAACTTGCTATCCTCTTGCCTCAGCCTTTGAAGGAGTGGGATCCCAAGTGTTTGCCCAGCCTAGACTATACTGTTAAGTACTGAATTTGAATGTATTTTTCTTCTTTATAAAAAAAAATGTTGAGGACGGGCCAAATAGCTTAGCAGAGTAAAGTGCCTGCAAACAGGCACAGGATATAGGGGTTCAATCCCTGGGCCTGCTGTTCTGGCCCCACCCCCTGGGACGTGCTGAGACAGGATTTGAGACTGGGCATGGTGGCACGTGCCTGTAATCCCAGCTCTTGGAAGGCTGGCAAGAGGCGGATCACTATATCTAGTAGAGAGACCCTGAATACCCTGTAGACCCTTCCCTGGAACACACACACACACACACACACACACACACACACACACACAAAATGTTGTCTCATACATCTTGCATTTGCAAGAGGCCACTTTGAGAGATTGATATATACCAAATAATTTTGTTCAAGTGCGTGGTATGATCTTTGCATTGTGATGAAATCTCCTAATGACACACTTCTCAAAACCTATATTTCTGATTAAGCTATATGTGGCTGCATTTAGAAGTGTTTTTGTAATAGAGTTACTTGTTTTTTTTTCTTGGGATGGGGAGTTACTTTATGGCTAGGTGATTTCGCAGTTCTCTTCTTTTTCCCATAGAAATTCCCCAGACCTGGATGACAGTAGATTAGAAGCAAAGCAAGCTAGAAAGGAGCAGGAAAAGGACTAGGAATATGAGGTTTATATTCACCATTGAAATACATGATCTCTAAAATTTGTTAGCTTTCCAAAAATGTACTTGCTGTGTTTGTTTATGATGCAGGTCTGAGGACCATTGGAGTGATCACCAAATTGGATCTTATGGACGAAGGAACAGATGCCAGGGATGTTCTAGAGAACAAGTTGCTGCCTCTTCGCAGGGGTAATGTACTGTACTCTATACAGAATTTTCTTTGATAATATGCAGAGAAACACCTGGAAAACCACTGAGTTGCATGGTTTTAATGCATCCTCTGTTGTGAAGATTGAATTTATTAGCTATACTTTTAATAGAATGGCACAGTATTCCCAAATGGTGTGTTTAAAATGATCTAAAAGGAGAACTATTCTTAAAATAACAGGAATTTAAAAAAAACAGGAAAAGGAAAGGGTTTGAAGAGAGGTTATAAATATTCATTAGACACTATATAAATATATATTCTTCTGTTTGAAATGTGATAATTATTTACCTGTTACATGACACAACTGATAAGAGACATACTTTCTTAAAATGCATAAAGCTTTTCAAAGTGAGCAACATTATTTTGTTGGTACCAAAAATTATTATTAGACAGGTCAGGAGCATTTTGAATACTGATGTCTCAGGTTGTGTTTTATGAAATGATCCACTCTTCATGCTTTACAAGTAATCTTGCTTTCTTTATTTGATCTTTTCAAGAACCTTGAAGTCTCCCTAGGAAAAGTGACTAAAGGTATGTAAAGTCCTTTGTCTCATTACAGGTTATGTAGGGGTAGTGAACAGGAGCCAGAAGGACATAGATGGGAAGAAGGACATTAAAGCAGCCATGCTGGCAGAAAGGAAGTTTTTCCTTTCTCACCCTGCCTACAGACACATTGCTGATCGCATGGGCACCCCACACCTGCAGAAGGTCCTCAATCAGGTAAAAGTGTTTCTTATGCAACAAGAACAGTTACGCAATCTGTTGACGATTGCAATTCTCATTTCTTATTTTTAAATTCGTATTTCCAAAATTTACATAAATTCAAACTTATATTCAGATGAAATGACAGGAATTTTTAAAAGTGAGTGGGAATCCTTAGAGTCACACTATTACTCTTAGTGGACTGAATTCACCTAAACAGTTTTTAGGACAGTGCTCTAAGCAGAAATACATACTTCTGTAGGACCAGTGAATAGGAATATACTTTTGAAAATGCACTCACTCACAATATATAGTTATCTTTAGAAGTTAGATGTATGTAGCTCTGAAAATGTGATACCTGGGCATCTAGTTTTGAAATACCAAGTTGTAATTAGGTTAGACTATTACAAATTTTTGTTTTGTTTTTTTTTTTTTAAGATGGATTTGTTTATTTATACTCTTCAAAACAACAAACCCTGATAAAGCAGTCATGGATATTCACCAATCTAACGTAACCCATTTCTCTAAAATCAATAGAATTCAGTTGGCCTCCTACCTACTCTCCTCCTTGTACCACACACAGTTTTCCCACAAAACTTCAATACAGTTACTTGGTGACATGTATTTTTTCCCCTGTTGGAGTTAAAGTGTCATGACAGATGTCACTGTCATTGAGTACAGGGCTCTTTTCTTCAGTTTTTATTACAATTGACTTTATATGATGAGTAGGTTGCTTCACAAATTATAAATTATGCATTAATTCCTGTCTTTTAAGATAGTCAGTTGATCAGATAGTTATTGAACATTCTGATGTAGCACTTTGAAGATATCAACAGAGGCTGTCATAGTAAATAATACTGTATTTGAACCATTTAGGGAAAACAACTGGAGACACTTAGGAAACTAAAAAGCAGTGGTATAGTTTTATTTTGGATGGTGCAATGGAGGCTACTATAAGGTTTGTACTTTGAAATTAAAGACATGGGTATATTACTATAATATGATGACTTTAACTCTTTCAAGAAGCTACCCAGGAGAGGTATAGCTGGGTCAAATGGAATTTCTATTTTTAGCTTTGAAGACTCTCCATACTGATTTCTGAAGTGGTTGTACCAGTTTACATTTCCATCAATAATGTAGAAGGGTTCCTTTAAGTTAAGGATAAACAGTGTTTGCAAACTATGAGGCAGCTCTAGGTTGTATCATTTTAAAAATATGAAGTATTTTAGAGATGTAACACCAGTTTGCCATCCAAGAACCATAATATTCTACCAATATACTCAGGACTGATAAAACATTTTAGATTTCTGCTTGAACACCTGTACTGGTCTAGGAAAAGTGCAAATATTCTGAAAAAAAAAACCCTCAGAAAACTCACTAATTTGGTTAGAAAGAAGAAAATGATTGACTATTAATTATTACAGGTGCTCACTAAGTTATGATATAACTGGGTTGTGATTGACTGAAAATTGATTTTTTTATGGACGATATGGTCTTTCCTGGATAATCACCATTGTGTCTTTAGTCTTCGTATTATGTTTGAAATACAAAAACTTTATTTTCTAATTCAATGTGCACCAATACCTCTAACCCTAAAGGACAGTTTCCATGGGAAAAAAATAGAAGAAGACATGGCATTTTTGAGGAAATGAAAGAAATGCCATTGTACCTTGAAGGCAGAGGAAGAGGGGGTGAGTTGTAAGAGATGAGCATGGAGATGTAGACAGTGGGTGGGTCCTGTAAAGTTTGGAGGCCAAATTAAGGATTAGTCATTGGGAGTCATTTAAGAGATTTGGGAAGGAAGATAACATGATCAGATATGTGATTTAACAGAAAATATGGTATAACACACAGGGAGATTAACTGCAGACCTGTTAGGAATAAAACTAGGAAAGCCAGTTAAGATTGAAAATAAAAATTATGATGGCTTAGTCTCCGATACTGGTACTAGAGATGAAAAAGCCCAGTATGTTTGAAAAATATTTAGGAGAATTGAAAACTTGGTGGTAGATTAGAACTGGTGGGTGGTGTGGGGAAATTCCACATTTCCAAGTTTTTAAAAAAATGTACTTAGTATAGGGTCTACATGGTCTCACTATACAGATTGGACTCATAGTGATTCTCCTGTTTTCACCCTCCCAAGAGCTGGGATTACAGGTGTGCACTACCACACCCATTCTCAATCAGGATCAGTATGCCCTGGGGTGGGGCCAGCACAGCATGCTGGGGATTGAATCCTGGTCCTTACATCTGCCTAAGCAGGCACTTTAGTCTGCTGAGCTATCTGGCCAGCTCCTCATTTCCAAGTTTTTATGAAGTAGATGGAGAACCACTAGGGGAGGATCATTGTCACTGTGGCAGTATACTTGAACTATTTCAACTCTGTGACAAAAATACCTCAAACAACTTATAAAGAAGAGAGATTTATTTTGGCTCATGGCTTCTGTGTATGGTTCTTAGGCTTTTTGCTTTGGACCTTTGGTCATATAAACTCTCATGGTGGGAAGTCATAAGAAAGAAGAGAGCAAAGAAAGAGAGAAATACTTGGAATTCTAATACCCCTCCTAGATTTTCACCCCCCATAACTTCACTTCCTTTATGTTGTATCTTTGAGCCTGTTGCAGCATATCACATCATAATGGGAGGTGGCAGTGAAGTCTGCTCACCTCATGGTGGTCAGGAAGTAAAGAGAGAAAAGGGGTCAGGGTCCTAGTAGTGCTATTAAAATCATGACTTAGGTGACCTTATTTTCTTCCGTTAGGCTTTGTCTCATAGTGTTCCACCACTTTCCCAAGGCACCACAGGCTGGGAGCCAAGACCTCAAAGTATGGGCCTTTTTTTGGAAGAGGGTCTCTAGATCCAAACTATAATAATTATTTATTTGACTTGGGACATGTTGAGGCTGAGATGTTATTGACATATCTAAGAGGAGGAGTCAAGAAAGTGGTCAAATATGTGTACTCAGAGGAGAGATAAAAAGCCCTGTTTGGAGATAATGTTTTAGAGGCCATGAATTTGGATGTTCACTGAAGCCCTGGATGTGACAAGATTACCTTAAGAGAGTACAGGGAATAAACAAAGAGGCCTAATACCATGTTTGAGAAATCTCAATATTACCAGTCTGGTGAGGATAATGAACTATCAGAGGAGATGGAGACAGTTATGTCCAGAATGGCCAGGAGAAAAATTAGAGAAGCTGAGATTATGAAACCAAGGAAAAAAGTATTTTACAAGACCAAGAAGGGACCACAGTTTGCTTCACTGTTGAGATATATGAGAAGCAAAAAATGGAAACCAAGTGCTTTTATATCACCTGACATGGAAATTGGCTGGCTTATCAGATTTGCTATTATTTTCATCTTTGGGTCCTTAGCTCTTGTGACATTGCTACTAGTAATGTAGTCTGCTCCATTCTACCATTTTTGTTCTGATAGCCACAAGAACAACACAACAGCCCACTCCAATAGGCGGGACAAATACTATAGTCAAGGACTAGTGAAAATTTAACTATGAATGTATTGAATAGATTTATTGAGGGAATTGCAGATACACATAAAGATAATTTAAAATAATTTCCTATCAGTCTGGATATGTTTTCTCTTTTTTTTTAAAATTAGGGAAGGGTCTACAGGGTATTTAGGGTCTCACTACTGGACAGGACTTGTAGTGATCCGACTGTTTACAGCCTCCCAAGAGCTGGGATTACAGGCATGTGCCACCATGCCCAGTCTCAATTGCTGTCTTAGCGTGCCCTGGGAGTGGGGCTGACACAGCAGGCTGGAGGATTGAACCCAGGCCCCTGCACCTGCTTGCAGGAGCTTTAATCTACTGAGCTATTTGGCTGGCCCTTGGATATGTTCTTTCAAATTCTTTTTCTTGTATTTTTATGAAGTTTATGCTATCTCTTTGTTTTCATTCTCATTTTATTACTCAAGCATTTTAACAAAACTACCATTTTTTCTTTTAATTCATATTTTTCTTTACATGCACTGGGTAGAACATAAGGCAGAGAGCTGATTAACCTGGGGTTATACTCAGCTTTGGTTTTAATGAATCATGTACTGTTAGGCAGTATTTTAGAGGAGTTTTCAGTATATTGACCTGAGGATGCCTGCTAATCTCAGAGGAGATGCCAAGCACACGGCCAGGTAGAGATGTCAGTAGCAAAGAAAGCTTCCCTTTTTTGGTCATGAAAGTTTTAGGTTGATCCCCTTGAAGGCAGCAGCCAGTGACTAGCCAGAGTTGGACTGAGGCCTAGAGGTAGAGCAAAGAGGAAGTCCCTGGCTGTGTTGCAGGGGGCAGAGGAAATTAGCAGCTAGCCAGTGCCTTTGGCACCTTAGACTGCTTGAGCTCCAGAGATGGGGCAGTCCATTTGCCCTCAGAAATGTCAGACACTACCTACAGCTCTTGGTTTCCTTCATTCCTACCAAATTCTAGCTAAAGCTACTTTCTACATGGTAGGTGATTTGGCAAGCCAGCCCATGCTGCAGTGTTGTTGGGCAGCTTCATGGTGACAATGGCTGCATTTTCACAGTGAATTCTAGGACATTAAAAGAAAAAAAAACAACTCTGGTGAGTTTTATAATTGAAGGAATTTTGAGCAGCTCCCAATGGGCAGTGAAAAAAAAGGGTGCTCTTTATTACTTAAATAATCCCCTTAACATATCTATATATCTATGTCAATGTCTCTCTGTATATATCTAAGATTATTAATAATTAGGAAAACAGCAAAGTCTGACTTTTGTCTCATGAGTTAATCTTTAGTCTGCTGTACCATTTTGTTTTATTTAGCAACTCACCAACCACATTCGAGATACCCTGCCAAACTTCAGGAACAAACTGCAGGGGCAATTGCTGTCCATAGAACATGAAGTGGAAGCCTACAAAAACTTCAAACCAGAAGACCCCACTAGGAAGACCAAAGCCCTTTTGCAGTAGGTTACTTTTCTCTTCTTTCCACTTTAAGCTGATTTCTCCAGTTTGCTGTTGTGGTAACCTGTAAGTCAGGTTGTTTTCTAGGCTTGATAAAAGCAGCAAGGAAATGGAAATTTCTCTGTACTGGTCAGTAATCCTTGAATTTTTGTATTGTCCTACAGAATTTTTTGTTCTTATTTTTATAAACTTAACCTATTCTGAAGTTCTATGCCTAATTTATTTGTGTTAAAATTGGGTTTAGTCAGTGAGTAAAATTCATAGTGTTCAACAAAGTTAATTTTTGTCCTTAGTTTTATTTTAATTAATTAATTAATAATTAATTAATTTTGTGGTACCAAGGATTGAACTCAGGTCCTTGCACTTGCCAGGCAAATGCTTATTCTACTGAGCCATCTCCATGGTCCTGTCTTTAGTTTTAGAAGTGAGTGAATACAGATGTAAGTCTCATCTGAATTTTATCAATGTTTTTGTAGGTATTTCTTGTCCTTATTACCTTTTTATTTCAATTATTTCACGCAATTTATCTATGTGCATTTTCCCAGTGGTAGTTTAGAAAATAAGGCCACATTTTCTTTTATTTTTCTTTTTTTCATTTTTGGTAACAATCGTAAACTTTAACAGTGCAGACTAGGAAACCTACAAGCATCTCTTGTTCCTGCATCTCTTGTCTTATCCTTGGGTTTGTAGATTTCTGTCTGAATTATGTGAGATGGCAGAGTTGTTAGAGACTTACCAACACATCATGTTTTATCTCTATTCTCTCCCTTGACCCCCATTGGATTTATCTATCCCTTTATCCCCATGCTTCAAATTCCATCCGGTTCCTCTAAACTGAAGGACTCCTGCCCAAGGTATCTCTCTAAAGACAATATCCGATACCTCCTATGGCACCATAATCCTTTAAATAACAACTTAAATGAATCATCTTATATTTCTTCATTTAAAAGCTATAAGATCATGCTAAGGTAAAAATTTCTATTCAATGTAATTCCTAGTTTCCTTGGTTTTTGTAAAGCTCTTGTAAAAACTCTTCAAGTTGCAGAGAAAGGAAAGCTGTTTCTCTTTAGGCCCTAGGTTGTTATCATAACATCCACTGAAACTGGAATGCAAAGATAGTTGTGTCTCTGTGACTTCTTGGGACTCAGATTTCAGAATTTTTCACAGCTGTATTAGTGACTTGAAAAGAGCTGATTCAGCTTCTTTCTACGGCCCTATCTCTTCTGCCCTGTTCCTTTCATTTCTGCCTCTCTGCTGCCTCTTTTTTTCCCTCCAATCTCTTTATGTACTCAATTCATAGTCGAGTCCTAGAATGTCTTCCAAAGGCTCAACAGTACATAACATTTTTGTCTTCAAAAGTCAGGTTAGAGTCTGTGAATGTAGATATATGAGTAATTGTTTCAGCATCTGTGAGTACTATTTCCACTGAATATAAAGTGTTAGGAGTTCATACAAGGAAGCAGTGATGTGTGAAAAATGGCATGAACTAACAAGGAAAAGTGTACTTGAGACCAGAAATATAAGGCGAGTTTGTCAAATGGAAGGAGGAGGCTAAGAGAACAGTGTAAATTTTGGTGCATCTGGTTTTTAGGTCATTGGGTGGGCCAGGTGACATGCAGAGTGCAGGGGAAAGAGTACCTGGAGATGAGTTCTCCAAATTTTCAAGTGTTTCAAGGCATATGCTCTATTATACCATTCTGGTGTTTTAAAACATTTGCAGCAGATCCTGAGGGCTGAAATAGGTAGAGAGAGGGGGTGAAGCAGAAATGATTTTTGCCTGAGGGATGGAAAGGAAGTAGAGTGAAATATGGGATGGGGGAATATAAGACTTTCAGAGATTCCCTGTTCTGCATTCTGGGAATGTAAGATTTAACTGTCTTGGGAGTGAGAGTAGTTAATGTTTCAGATATGCTGAGCTCAAGGCAGCAAATAGAAAATAAAACTCCAGTAGACAGCTGGGCACCTGGGTCAATTGCTTCCCAAAATTGTTGGAAATGAAGGTCCAGAGAAGCTGTGGCTTCTTGATAACCCTGGAAGATGTGACCATCCTTGAGACTATCTAGGGCAAACATTTAGGACAAGGAGGAGAGATGGGACCTGAAGTACTGAGGGAGGAAGAGTAGCTCCTGAAGTAGGAGAATTCAAGTGGAGCAGGTGGGATGCTGGGAAAGTGTGACATCACAGGAGAGGAGGTGCATGTGACTACTTACTTACATTTTATTATATGACTTTAATTTTTCTCTGAGGTGTTCTTTAAATATCATTTCATACTTGAAACCAAATGGTCAGAGCTCTTCTTTTCCAAATAGGGTCTCCATGTAATTCAGGTTGCTCTTAAACTCAGTGGTAACTCAGGATGACCTTGAACTCATGGCAATCTTCCTGCTTTACCCATGCAAATACTGGGACTGCAGTCATTCACCTGCATGCTTGGCTCAAAATTCATTTAAAGAAAAAAAATTTAAGCTATTTACACTAGTTATATATCTAAAATCATAAGTGGGCATTTCACATAATGAAATTTAGGGAACTGAGCAAGAAGTAGCGTTAGCTCAACCAGTAGGTGCCACTAAGAACACTAGAAAAGGATTTAAAGAGAATAATATAGAAAAATAAAATAAGAAATGCAAAGCTCTGCAATGTTAACTTGAATTTACTTCTCATTCACACCATAGGATGGTTCAGCAATTTGCTGTGGACTTTGAGAAGAGAATTGAAGGGTCGGGAGATCAAGTAGATACCCTGGAGCTCTCAGGTGGTGCTAAAATCAATCGCATTTTCCACGAGCGTTTTCCTTTTGAAATAGTGAAGGTCTGTACCGAACGTCATTTTTTTTTCCTCTTTCATTCTCCTTCATTTTCAAATTTTGTTTTATAAATCCCTTGATATAGTGTCATGTGTGTGCTGTGGGACTAGACAGTTCTTTGAACAAGCTTTAAACTTGGGTAATGAAATTCAGGAGAGAAATATTTTCATTTCTGATTTTATTTAATAAGATTTAATAACATCTCAAATCATTTAAAGTAAGAGTTTTCTATAACGTTTATGTATTGTCTAATTAATGTGTAAATAGTTTTTGAGCACCTACCATGTGCCACAGTTCTGGGTGCCAGTGATTAAAATAGATGCCTTGATTTGTCTAGTGGGGAAAGATGGGAAATTAATAGACAATGTAAGGGAAAGTATTGCTAGTATAATATGAGGTGAGAGCCACTTTTAATGGGCTATTCAGACAAGTGCTGTCTGAACAAGGGGCCCTGGAATTATAACAGAACAGCATGAAGTGGTCAGCTATGTAAAGGTCTGGGGAAAGAGGGTTGTTCAAAGGAGGAGCACCTGTAGGTGAAGTCCTACCACAGCAATGAATATGGAAAGTGGGCATGGATATGGTTTCTGCAGACTGATGAAGAAGAGGAGGAAGGTGAATCCAGAGGAATGAAAGAGGTATACAGATCATCAGGAATCTCTGGGTTAGAATGAGGTGTTGACATTTAACAATGAGCAGTTGCAGAAAGATTTAAAGAGGGATGTGATCTAATTTGATTGAGGATCTTGAACACTGTACCTACTAGATTGAAAAGGGGCAAGAGACAAGGAGGGCAAGGAAAACAGTAAGGCCAGACCAGAAGTAGAATCACTGTATGTGAAACCTAAGGCTTCTACAATCTTGGAAGCTTCCTCGAAGATAAAGAATATGAAATTGTAAACACAGGCACAGATTCTTGGACAAGGTCTTTTGCAAGAGAGAAACTCTGAAGCATAAATTTTCATTAGCTTCCTAGTAAACAGAAATGACCTCATGAGGCAGTATTGAGGAAGATAAATGAGATGGAATTTTAGAAATAAGGTTGATAGGAGTTAGATGGATGGGGGTGGCTGGAAAACAGAAGCTTCTAGATGATTCCCAAGATTTTGATTTTCACAGCTGTGTGATGGTACCCATCAGATGAGGGAAACTGAGGAAAATCTGGGTTAGTGTGGAGATGTGAATCAAGAGTTCTGTTTTGGGTTTGCTAAGTATGAAATGCTGGGTAAAGCTGTTACACAGTTTTAGAGTCTGCTATTTTCCTCACATACAGAGATGTGGATGCTGATGTCATGGTGTGGGAAGCAGATGGGTAAATAGATAGCCTTATTAAAATGTGCTAAGTAAAGTGATAAACTTCAGCACAGAGTGCTATGGAAACACAGGCCACAAACATGAATCTGAGGCCAAGTTCTTAAGGAGTCAGGCTGCTGAGCTGCATCTGGAAAGATGGTGGCTGGTGAAGCTTTAAGAGGCGGGGGAGGTGTGTGGTGGGTCAGATCGCCAGGAATGATTAAGGCTCTGGGCTGTGAGACTCCAAGTCACTGTTGTAGAGGATCAAGCTTCAGGAGGGCAATGGAGAAACAGAGGCAGGAGAGGCTGGGTCTGAGTCAGAACAGAACCAGGGGTTCTCTAGATGTCCCTTCCAGGACCATGCTCCATGATACTTTGATGCTATTTCCAAGTAGCTGTATGGTACCTAGGACTTCTGGGAAATATTTAAACAATTATCTACCCTGTATTGGCTTGATGGAATATTATTAATTTCCTTTTATAAGGATGCTTTGAATTTAGGGTTAAAATGGCCAGGGAGAAAACATAGCTACTATTACTCTCAGGACAGCTGTACTGCAATTGCGTATCAGGTGACACTGACATCTATGCATCCACGTCAAATTTACTCTATGCAGCAAAGAAATAATTCTATATTTCAAGTGAATGGCTAGATTCATGCCCAGAAGGAGTTCTTTATACACAGAACTGCTTATACATATCAGAGTTAAAATCTGTTGCTCTACAATTCCCAGAAATCCTTAGTGTTCTATGTTGCCTTGAACTTTATATAAACAGATGTTTTGACCATCTGGGTTTAGCTTAGGAGAGCCATGAGTATCCATTTATTAACAACTGAGTCAAGTTCCTCTCATTCTATAATATTCAACAATATTACTATATCAAAGGAATTCAGTGTCATAACCATGGCTCATTTTGCATTTGCAGATGGAGTTCAATGAGAAAGAACTGCGAAGAGAAATAAGCTATGCAATCAAAAACATACATGGTATCAGGCAAGTTCTTCACATTTTTTTGTCTTCTGTCCAAGCTATCACAAGCAAATGAATGTTTATAAATGACTGGTAAAGTTGCCTTTTCATCTTCTGAATAGAAGAGTGAAAGAGGTGGGTGTCAGATATAGGAAATCGTAGGATTAGTTTGGGTGTAGTGGTAATTTCCTATGTTGTCATAGGTTCTTTTTTTAGTGAAAAAAAAAGTGGAATGCTTTCTGTACTCACAGCCTGTACTCTGCACAGTAAGAGATTCAAAGACAAGCAGGACCCTGTTTTCCAAAGCTTTACAATTTAATGAGACAGGACTGACTTGTAAATAATCATTATTTACACAGAAGAAGGACAGATTAATTTTGACCAGAGTTGGGCAAGATTGAGAAAGAGTAATAAAGGCTGCTGTTGGATTGCAGCTTATCTTTGTATAGGAGGAGTGCAGCAAGCCAACGTGTGCTGTGCTGTGTGCTATATACGTGTGTGCGTGCACGTGTAGGAGTGGGTGAAGATGCAATGAGTGAACAAAGTTGGGGTTGTAGAGGTTGGAGGATGCAAGAAAAGTGAGTTGAGACACAGCTGTGGAGAAGTGTAGCAGGTATTCATAAAGCTGGGGTTCTGCATTTTGTTCAGTATAAGGAATGTAGGTAGGAGAGGAAGGGCATGAGCTAGGAGGGTGGGCTGGGCAGACAGGTGCCTCAATTTCCTGCTGTTTAGTGTGAGATCATTCTAAATGATTTTCTAGCTTAGTCTTTTCAGCCTGCTATAACAAATTACCATAGTATGGGTGATTTATAAGCAATAAAAGTTTATTTCTCCTACTTCTGGAGGCCAACTTTAGGTTGCCAGGATGGCTGGGTTCTGGTGAGAACCTGTCCAGTCTGTAGACTTCTGGCTTTCATTTTATCCTTACATGGCAGACAGAAAGCTGGTTAGATATCTACCTCTTCTTAGAAAGGAGCAGATCCTACTTGTGAGGGCTTCCCTCTTATGACCGAATTTTCTTCTAGAGGTCTCAGCTTTTCAACAATCACATTGGTAGAATTTCAGCACATGGATTTTATGGATAATACAAAATCGAGTTCAGAATACTTTCTGTAAACAGCTATCATAAAAAATATTTTAAAAACATTTCTTGAGTTCTTGGACAGGTTTCTAGACATAACTTAAGGAGTACATGTTAATTAGAAGTGTCCTGAGTTAAAGGTAGGGCAACTTAGTTGATAAAGTTCCTCTTCTGAAAGCCATATGCCCTGTCTGTGGTCAGCTGTTGCTCAGCTTCTGCCACAGGGCCAAATTGAGACCACGTTGGGATCAGACTCTGAGAGGACAAAGCTTGACACTGAGTATGCATGTGGCAGGTAATTTTCCAAAGGAATTGTGATAGAATCACCTGTCACTTACAAATAGACATTTTGCTCCCAAGCTTCAGATAGTATGTGGAAATGGGAGTTTACAAAGTGAAAGGGGTAAAATATCTAAAATCAAATCCAATAATTTTGTCATACTGTTAACAGGATTTCTATGTTTCTTACTCTAGCTCTTCTCCATCAAATCTGAAGTACACTCCACATAGATGTTATTTTGCTCTTTATCTGGGCGGACCTAGTATTTGTATAATTTTATCAAAGAAGTGCAATGGGACTGAGCCACATTTTTTGGAGAGGCCATGAAGTACTTTAGCTCAACCAAACAGAGTTCTTTGCTTACCAGAGAACCATTTTGCTGGACATAATTGTCTAGTAATTCAGAATTGTGGATTTCTGATTTGTATGTATACCTACAGAAGAGTTTGGTTGATGTTAGTATTCTAAGGTTAATTTACCTATGAGATGATAAGAAATGTACAATGCTCTGAGTATGGGACATACTAATGGCTAATCATTGAGGCCATTAAGGTCAGACAGGGGAGATAACTTGAATGTTATTCTGTACTCAAAGTAGAGAAATGATAATTATAGTCTGATTATGTTAGTCAAAACCAAGAGTCCAGAATGCCTAGTAAGTGACAAGAAGGAATAGTAAAATTGAGAACGGTTTTTTTTTTAATTTTTATTTATTTATTTATTTATTTATGTATGTATGTATGTGTGTTTGTGTGTGGCCAGCTCAGCCCACCAGGGGGCGGGGCTGGCTGGCATGTGGTGCTGGGGGATTGAACCGCGGTCCCTGTGCTTTGCCAAGCTTGTTGTAAGTAGGTGCTTTAGACCACTGAGCCATCTCACCAGCCCCAGGAATAGTAAAATTGATGGAAGGGAAGTTTCCCCAAAAGAAATTTCCCAAAACAAGTCCTATGAATTGAGTAGCTAAAGAAGAGAAGTAAGGGAGTGTGTTTTAGTTACTTTTCTCTCGTTGCTGGCACAAAATACCCAACAACAAAAATTAGGGGGGAATGATTTATTTAGCTCACAGTTAGTGGGGGTTTTAGTCCATACTCACCTGGCTCCAAGGCAGAGTAGCACATGGCAGAGGGCAGCAGCTCATGGGGGCAGAAAACAGCAAACAACAAAAGGAAGAGTAGCAGCTGCAGCAGCAGCAGCTAGCAAGCCTCTCTCCCTTCCCTGCATTGTATGCAGATTACTCACCTCAGGGTGGGTGTAAGCACTCCCACCCACAATCCCTGCATTAGATCATGAATTGATCACAAAGTCTGGAAGCCTTCCCAGTGACTGCATGAGGCGGGGGTGGGGTGGGGGGGGACAACTAGACATGAGAGTGAAAAGTAGAGGAGAGAAGGTTTAGGACCAAGAAGGATCAAGTTGCAAATCACTAAACCTAGACATCTGTGAGTATGGTCAGTACCAGGCAGAATGAGTGGAAGCAGTGCACGAAGTAGAGGTCCTCTTATGTGGATTGTCTCTTTTGACATTTTGTTTACTTTTGAGTAATAATTCTTCACTTTTTATGAAACACACATCCTGCACTTAATATATCTGCTTCCCAGAGTTCTTGTTCAGCATGATAAAAGCATTGTTATGATACTGTCTCAGTTACATTTTCCTTGTTGCTGGGACAAAATATTCGATCTTCACAATTAAGGAAAGAAAGGTTTATTTAGCTTATAGTTAGTGGAGGTTTCAGTCTGTACTCGGCTGGCTTCAAGGCATAATGGCATGTGGCAGAGGGCAGCAGCTCATGGCAGCAAAAAAACAGTAAGAGCAGAAGGGAGGAGAAGTGGCAACAATGGCAACAGAGAGAAAGTCTGTCTTCCTTAAATTGCATTCAAGTTATTGCCTCAGGCTGGGTATAGCACTCACACCCATAATCCCAGCACTGGATCATGGATTAATCACAAACTCTAGAAGCCTGTCCCAGTGACTGCGTGAGGCTTTGGAGAAACAACTAGACACAAACCATAATAGACACCAATATAAATTAATTCCAATTAAAAGGAAGATAGGTATTATTTCAACTATTATTTACTTTGGTACTGAGGACTTGAATTCAGGACCTTGAGCTTGCCAAGTGGGTGCTATACCACTGAGATATATCCCCAGCCACCTTCTTTTTAAATTTTTAACTATTTATTTTTGCAGTACTGGGGATTAAACTCGGGACCTTGTGCTTGCCAGGCAGACGCCTCTGCCACTGAGCTATCACCCCTGCCCCTTATTATTTTTATAAATTCATAATTTATAGTCATCTTTTAATATTAAAAGTATGTTATTTTATGCAAGTGCTATGTAAATACAGGTTCTATTATATTGTTTAGACAATAATGATAAGAAAACCATCTGTACATGTTCAGTATAGATGCATTTTTTTTCCTTGAATATTTTCAACCAACGGTCGGTTGAATCTACTGACAGGCAAACAGCTGACATGGGGAGCTAGCTGCATTTCTTTTTATTGCTTTGAAGCTGTGAGATGAGACAAATAGTTAAGTATCAGTTAAAACTCAAATTATAAATTATGAAAACGCATTAGATATTGTTTTTATGCTTGGTTTCATTTTTTTGTGGTACTGAGGAATTGAACCCAGGGCTTCCCCCATAGGATTCCAGCATTCTATCTATATCCTGAGCTCATGGACATTGTTTCTAGGTTATGTTAGTCTCCCCATGGAGGTGGGGAATTTAGACATCTTATTATGCCCGGCTATTGGTGGTACATGTTTGTAATCCCAATTACTCAAGTCACCGAGGCAGAAGGATCATACATTTGAGTCCACCCTGGGCGGCTTGTTAAGACTCTATGCTAAAGTTGAAAAAAAAAAATTGAAGGACTGGGATTTAGCTCAGTGTGAAGGCCCTGGTTTCAATACTCATGCCACCAAACAAATAAACAGAACTATTTATTATAATGATACTGTGGATAGAACAAATTGCTGCATAGCTTCTAATCCTTGGTATGTTATATGCATAACTTAAATGGGATGCCAATTTAAACACTTCCTAAAAGTGACTGGATACCATTCACTCGTCTAAAGGTAGTAAGCTGCTTTCTCTCACCTTCAGGACAGGGTTGTTTACACCAGACATGGCATTTGAGGCAATAGTCAAGAAACAGATTGTAAAGCTGAAAGGACCTTCCTTGAAGAGCGTAGATTTGGTCATGCAAGAATTAATCAACACCGTGAAGAAGTGTACCAAAAAAGTAAGTAAATTATTTCATTTCTTAGCAAGTGACTCCTTGGTTTGTCCCTCTTTTCCTGTCCCCTTTCATCAGTCTTATTCTGTAACCTCTTGCTGTGTTATAGATGTTGTATCTTTGTTCAGCGGGATGGATTAGGGCATGTACTGAATGGAAATTGTTTTTCTGATGAGCTGGTGTATTTCCCTTTGTCACCCCATTTCAAATAAGCATATTTTATTAAGCTAGGTTTTTGATTTGTTGCCTTAAGCAGATAAACATCGTGTTAGAACCATGAGATGGCTGCCTTATGCTAATTTTTTTTCCTCTATATTGTGTGGATAAGGTTAATTGGCAGGTAAAGGAAATCATCACTATTTAGAAAATTCTTCTAAATTATAAATGATTTCATGAGCCAGAGTATTCTGAGAAGAGACAATACAGTATAGAGGATAAGAGCATGGCTTCTGAGGTCCAGTTACCTAGATTCAAACTGTGGGTCTTGTACTTTGTGTGTGACCCCAGGCATCACACTGAGGCCTATTGGTATTGTGAGTTGATCTGTGAAATGAGTTTTGGATGATAGCACCACTTCAGGGATCTCTTGACAAGATGATGCCCAAAATGTAAAGGCTTTGGAAAGATGGGTTTACCACAGGACAAGCTCAGTGGATGCTGGCTAGTCCACAGATCCCCATTTTAGCAACAACCAGTATCCTTTACTCTGACTGTCTATGTGGTATAGTGGTGGTGGAGGGATTTCCCAACTGGGGGACTCCTTACTGAGGAGTACAGAAAATTTGTACTGAGTTCCTAGGGACATGGAAGGAATGACCTGTATTGGAAAGTGGAAGAAATTTAGTGATGTGTTTAGGATTAATTGGTTTAACACCACTGACATTGGTTGATACTGGTACTATTTGTGGAAAGTACATATATTTCTGTTATATATTATATTTGGAGTAGCTCCCTGTAAACCTAGTTGGAAGAAAAAGACTGAAAGAGAATGAACATTAATACTGGTCCCTGCTTGTGGAAGAAAATCTCAGGTGAAGGAAAAGGGTAGAGTATAAACGTAGCCTTCAGGCTCAGTTCCTAGATGTGAGTGCTAAAAGAACAGGCCTGAGTGAACATTGCTTGGGACCTGGAAGTACAGTCCCAGAGCTCCTGACCCCTTCTCTAGGGCTCTTCCTACTCTTCTATCTAGCTCTTTAACTCCTAGTCTCTCTTTCCCAAAACAAGAAAAACTAGAATAAGGGGCTGAGGGACAGGGAAAAGACAGCACATGGGAAAGAACAAAGTACTGGGCAGGACATGGGTTATTCAAATCTAGATAGATTCTGCATTCACACTGTTTCACAAGCATGTGCAGGTTCTCTTTCCACTTTAAATAAAGCAATACTGAAAATAGTAGAAGGATGTGGTTTTTGTAAGACAGAAGATGCATAACTCTAATCAGCAGATCCATATGCATAGAACAAGCCCTGGTCCTACATCAAAAGATCAACACATGTGTGTACATTTATGTTTCAAGTTATATAAGGAGTTTATGGTATGTATGAATCTCTCTCTCTCTTTTTTTTAAAAATCATTTCCCATTTCATCAGGCTTACTGGAAAGCCAGGAGTCAGCATGGGATAATACAGCTTGCTCCCAGATACTGTGGCTTCTACTCTTTCTCCCTTCTCTTGAGACTGTCTTTTCCATTATACTCTGGAACAACCTCCGTCTATTTTTTTTTCTTTTCAAAGTTTTATTGATAAACATATAGCAATGAGACAGTTTCAAATCAAATCGAAAGTACAGTTTCAACAAATAATACACTGCATATATTCTTCTTAGTGGTTAATTGCTGTACAA